CAATTCTGTGAAGTTCCAGCCTTCTAGCATGGGCCGTTCCCGAAAACGCTTTCCCGCCAAAAAAACGTTCAGGTGCCTCTACGTGAAAACCACGCGGACCTGAGCGTCCGTTTTGAGGATACGACCCCGCACGTATGTCTATATTAAGTCACCGAATTTTCAGCCTTGCAGCTTTTGTGGATCTCGAGTTGAAAAATCGTTACAGACGAACACACAGACACACATACATACACACGTACATACATACATATACACAGACACACAGACAACCCCTCGACAATATGCGTTTTTGCATTGCATAGCTGCAAAAAACGCGTCTTCGCACGGGCAGCCTGCGCGTTGGCCAGTTATTATCTTTATATTCCTTGTTATTTGTTGGTCATTTATTGGCCTATTTATTTCCTAATATTACTGATGTTTTATGCTGATCTCAAAGTCAGTAAAGCATGGTCCAAGAGTAGCAGCGTTGAAAACATAGTGCTGATGCTCAATACACTTATCATAGTTCAGTGTGGGTATGGCCTTGCCAAAGTGCTTCTAGCTGAGAGAATAGCTGACCTGACAATCTCCAGGAAAAAAATGTCAGGATCCCTTCAAGCTGACCGCCGGAACACAACATTGGACAGTGCAACTGAAAAAGTTATGAGATGCATAATTGGAAAATCAGGAGACAATAAACGGCTGAACAAAGTGCCAGAGAATCTTAGGAGCTTCGAAGGCTTTTGATCAATTTTTAGGGGGGTTCTTGGTGTTGTACTGATTAAGAATTTTCTTTTTTTTTCTATTAATTCGTAATAAATTTTAGCAAAAATCGGTTTCTCCGAAAGAGGCCCAGATGTCTTCTACAACAACATCAAGTCCTTCCACAATGGAGCCGAATAAGGTGACCTTGGATTTGACTGGCCGATGTTTTAATACAACTGTAATTATTCAGAAATATGAATCCAGGTGTCCGTGGTGCGCATGTGACAATGAATTTGCTGTTGTCGGGCAGGTGAGTATATATTTTCTTGCTCGTAGAAATAGCCTAGGGCCAAACGATTAGGCGAAGCTTGATCAGTCACAAAGAAGGCATTCAGTAGCATCACTAGTCCATTAGTCCTGGTACTCTAGGTGTTTTCGAGTTTCAAATAGTTAAAATTTTCAGGATCAAATTTTTAAAATTTTTTATGAATTCGCTCTTAATGATTTCTGTTCTGTGACTTCTGGTTTGATGAGATTTATCGTTTAGAAAAAAAGCACGTAGTTTCGGCGAGTTTATTGAAATTTCAGCTATCGGATGCGGAATCACATGAACTTTTGTATCACATGAACAGTAGCATTAGCGGCAGCTTATCGTCCGATGCGCTGTTCGACATCGGCGTTGTTTCGCTCTCGACAATTGCCATTATCACATCGGCTGCATTCTCGTGCCTTCTCATTGCATATCTTCGTGAGCGACGAGCACATTGCGGTAAAAACAGCAGCACTGACAGCAGCTCAAAGTTTAACAAACAACATGGATACAAAAATTCTGCACCGTATTCCTCAACGCGACACAGCACTTTGCTCACGAAACATTTGGTAAATGACGAGATTAATAGGTGAGTAAAATGCCGGAATATCGAGAAGTACCAGAAAAATGAGATGAACTGAAGGTTTTGTAGCCCAAGGTCGAAGTGCCCAGCATCATTGCCCCCGGCATGTGAGAGCGTTAAACTTCATCGGCGCGAGATACTCGCGCCGAATATCCAAGAAAATTTGACATTTATCTTGAACCGTGATCATAAATTGATTATTGTGGTAGCGTGATAGTGATTAAATTGATTATATTGATAATGTAGTGATTAGCGAGAGTGACCAATTATGAAAACTGAAAAGAAAAAAAGCCATTCTAGTGGAAAGAGTAATTGACGTGAAGCAGTATAGAAGAATCAGGCAACGCTCCATCATATGTGTTGTTAAAAGATAC